AACAAGCTCCTCCTCCTCTTCCTCCTCCTCCTGCCCCTCCCGCTTCCCTAACCCTCCCTTCTCCCTAAGCCGGCCCCTGCCCCATCCCTCTCCCGCTTTCCCCTCCCCGCCTCCCTATCCCCCCTCCCCCTCCTCTCAGGCTTCCTCGCTCGTCTTCAGCCCAAGGCAGCTGCGCTGCAAAGCTCTTGGGGAACCCCCTCCTCTGAGTGGGTGACGTAATACCCCACTCCCCTCAGCCCCAGACCGTGTTCGGCTCCGTGGGATCCCAGTGGGGGGATGGGGGGGCTTGGCCCCGGAGGGTCCACCAGGCCTGTGGCGGGCTACCCTCTCTGCGTCCTGGGGACAGCACGCTCCGCTCATCCCCCCTCCTTAGGCTTCCTCCGAGAGCCAGAGGGGCTGCCTGACCATCTTCTCTCACCGACTCCTTCTGTCCTTCCCGCCACGGCCACTCCGCGGTAACCGGGAAGGGTCCCAGGCCAGCCTCCTCCTGGCGGCGTGCTCCGGGGCAAACCTGGGCTTCCGGATGACCGTCCTCACGTGAACTGTGGAGGATAATGCGCCGTGGGCAATCCGCGAGGTGTCCTGGAAGCCGACTGGGGTTGCCACGGCCCATTAGTTGGTTCTGACTCACAGCGGACTGAAACAGCCCCGGCCTGCGCCACCCTCACCACGGGGTTCCGTCGGAGCCCATTGGTGCAGCCGCTGTGTCCATCTATCTTGTCCAGGGCCTCCCACTTTTCCGTTGCCCCTCTACTTTGCCCAGCAGGATGCCCTTTTCCAGGGACTGGTCCCTCCTGACAGGTCTCACCCTCCTTGCTTCTGAGGAGCATCCTGGCTGTACTTCCTCCCCCAGGTTTGTGGGTTCTTTTGGCCGTTGGTGGGACTGTCCATCTTCTCTGCCTACACCGTCATCCAAATCCGTCTGCGTCTGGACAGCAGTGGAACGCTGTCAGGTCCGGAAAACAAACAGATTAGACGTCATCGTTATTGCTTATGGAATAATCAAAATAAATCCACAATGCAAAACCCAAGAGGTCGGGGACAAAATGCAATTAATATCAGCACTCTCAGTAGCAAGCAAAAAACAAAAACAAAAAAACATCAGTAACCAAACCAAACGGACCATCCAATCAAAGCACAGATGAATGAGCGAGTGGCTGAGACCACAGGCTCAGGGAAACAGGAGCAGGTGCAATTGATAGACAGACATACAGACAGATGGCGAGCTTCCCGGGAGCTGCCGCCATGCAGGCCTCCACTGTTACCCTGTGAGGAAGATGATGAACAATCGCAAGGAAGAACAAAGAGGCGTCCAGGCCTCACAGCCGAGGTCTGGGTCAATCCCAAAAGGTTTAAAGCTTCCACATAAAAGAGGAGGGGAGGGGGAGTGCCAGAAATGTCCAGAAAAGGGACATTTCTTCTGTAAGCTTAGTGTTAGAGAAAGACCTTTCAAACTAGAACATGAAATCCAGGTGGTGGAGTTCCAGCCTCAAAATATCTTCTCCAAGGAGAGAGAGAAGAAAGAAAAAAACAGGAGGGAGGGAGCACTAGAACTCTCTGCCCCACCTTCATTCTGGAGTTGCAGGAACAGCCTTGAAGAAGACCGGTCCCGCTGGTCCCACCCTCAGGATGCTGATGGGATCCGTCAGCAGTGTGGCTCTGGTCTCTGACATAGTTCAGGTGGTGTCGTGGGTTACCTGTTGGACTGCTAACCACAAGGTCAACAGTTCAAAACCACCGGTCACTCTAAGGGAGAAAGGTGGGGCTTTCTACTCCTGTAAAGAGTTGCAGTCTTGGAAACTCACAGGAGCAGTTCTACTCAGCACTGCAGGGCTGCTGTGATCAGAACGGATTTGATCAGCAGTGAGTCTTTTTTTTTTCTTAATGTGATGTGAGGCTGGGATGCGTTTCACTAACGTAGGCACCTTGCAGGAGTGCTTTCTAGTGGCATTCGGTTAGGGAACAACTAGTGTGCATTCAAAGGGAACGACACGAATAAGCAGTGGCCCAGAAGCACAGTTTTATAACCAAAGCAGTTGTAAAAGAAAGCAAGAGATGGGGGTGGGCGCAGAGGAAGGAAGGAAGCAATAGGGTCCGTTTTAGAAGATACATTGTGGGGCCCTGGGATACACTGTAGCAAAACAAAGCAGGGGCAGGCCGGTGTAGACATGGCGCCACCTATGGGTGAGATTGGAAGGGTGCGAACGGACGTGCTTGCATCTTCACAAAAATCTCTACTGGTGCACTCGGGATCTCAGCAAAATGAAATCCTTGGCGGCTTCGAGGTTTTCTCTGTTTATCATACTGCTGTGTATCGGTCCAGTTTTGCGGAACCCTATTTTCTTTCCATTGAGTTGTGATCCCAATGGAAGGCTGTAGTCTTTGATTTTTTTCAATTAACTTCTCAGAGTCCTTGTTACAGGAAGAAACATTGTGTCACCCGTATGTGGCTGGCAGATGAGGAGTCTCCCTCCAGTTTTGAAGTTGTTTTCCTCATACACTCCAGCTTAGGGTGTTTGCTCAGCTCCAGATGGAATAAGTATAGTGAACGGACACAACCTTGCCTGATTTCCTCTGTTCAAACTACTCTGTTCTTTGGATGCTGCCTGCATCATTCAGTAGTCTGCCTGTAGAATGCGTCAACCCTGTGACTGGGAGCTTGAATTGTTTGTTCAGTTCTTTCTGCTTGAGAAGCACCAAGCACATGCTTCTTGATCTAGATGGAGATCCCACATGGGCACTCTGACATGTTGTGCAAATAACATTCTTCACACAATGTGACCCATAATGTATTGTTAGCCACAAACAAATACTTTTGCGTAGCTAATAAAACAGATACGCATCTTTGTGGTATTCTCTCTTGACATCACCATGAAATACCTCAGGCCATGTCATCTTCTGAATCTGGATCGAATTCCTGTGCAGTTCTCTTTAGACGTACAATTGTAACCATTTTTTGAATGATTTTCAGCAAACTTTCACTTGCATGTGAGATTAACAAAATTCAGTAATTTCATCATTCTATTGGATCACCTTTCTCTGGATTGGCCACAAAGGTGGATCTCTTCCAGTTGCTTGGCCCAGGTAACTGTCTTCCAAATTTCTTGGCAAGTAAATGCTTCTGGCATTGCTTCCATTTATTGAAACATCTCTGTTGGTATTCCATAATTTCCTACAGTCTTACTTTGTGTTAATAACCTTGGACTTCTTTCTTCAGTTGGTTCTTAATCAAATGCCATGTCCTGCAGTGGTTGAACGTTGACTGATTCTTTTTAGCAAAATGACTCTGAAGGGGGAACTGATCACCGTGAGTGACATAGAA